TAGAGACTGGGTTTTACCATGTTGGCCAGGCTGGTCTCAACCTTCTGACCTTGTGATCCTCCCGCCTCGGCCTCCCAAAGTGCTGGGATTACAGGCATGAGCTGCGGCACCCAGTCGGGGCTCTTGGTTTTATAAGAAATGTAATCACAAGTCAAAATAGGCTTTATTTCCTAAGTAATCTTAGTATTTTTTACTTTCTAAGGAAAAAGAAAAATACCTCCCTTTTTAAGAGGAATGATGCATACGCTTATCAAGTCACTAAAGATAATAAAAGTGAAAAATTAAAATTTAAAATTTCATTGCCTTACAGCAACCTCTCCATGGCTTGTTTCTCCCCATTCTCCTCCCTCAGGAGCTCCAGGTTGTTATGATGCCAGCCCAAAGGTGTGAAAGGCAGCTCTTTGGATTTTTCCTCTACTCGACGATTAAATAAGGATTCTAAATACAATATAAAATAAGAAGTTATTACTTCATTGTCCTGTTTTATACCACCTACTCATGTATTTAGAAATTGCCCTTTCTTTATAAATGTTTTAAGTTAGCCAACATAAATTATTGGCGTAAAAAGGCAAGAACATGTAATAAACATATAAATAAAATGCATAAGAAAATACATACAAATACGTAAAATACGCTAAAAATACAGAAATGCAAGAATTAAGAAGAGCAATAATTGGCAACCGCCAAAATCAGAAACAGAACTGTGAAAATCAAATGTACGTAACTAAGACTCTCAAGCCAATAATTATAAGCACAGCTTCTGAAAAGCAAATAAAATGAAACTTTTGCTTCTCTTTTTAATTTTTAAAAAGGAGGGTGTTAATATCCCCTTAAAATCACAAACTGGGCAGGGCATGGTGGCTCACGCCTGTAATTCCAACACTTTGGGAGGCCGAGGTGGGAAGATCACCTGAAGTCAGGAGTTTGAGACCAGTCTGGCCAACATGGAGAAACCCCATCTCTACTAAAAGCACAAAAATTAGCTGGGCATGGTGGTACATGCCTGTAATACCAGCTACAAGGGAGGCTGAGGCAGGAGAATCACCTGAACCTGGGAGGAAGAGATTGCAGTGAGCCAAGGTCACGCCACTGCACTCCAGCCTGAGTGACAGAGCAAGACTCCATCTCAAAAATAGAAAAAAAAAAATCACAAACTGAAAAGTGCATTCAACAGAAATCTAAATGCTGGCAGAACACATGATAGCGTGGGTGATGAACTTTCAAGAAAGAAGCTCAGCTCAGATAATCCCAAAACAACAGATGACAGTGCAGAAAGTCTATTCAGACAATCTTCAATAGTGTTTCTCTTTCAGTATTGGCACAGAGGTTTTTTAACAAAATTTTAGCAAGACAGACTCAAAAACATAAATATTAAAACATAATAAATAGCATTTATGTAGAATTTGTGTAAAATCTTTAAATTTTTTAAAGATGAGTGAAAACAGATCAAGACAAAAAATTAATAATAAATGCTTAACAAAAAAAAATATGTTCACTAAATAACTGTTGAATAATCTGACCAAATAAGTGGAAAGAAAAGAAGTAGGAAATGCTTACAAAAATTCTCTAACCTGTCCTCTCTTAAAAAGCAAAACAAACAAAAAACTTCCAACAGCCCAGCAGATTACACAGTAAAGTATATGTCCATGACATGTGAAATACAAGAACTGCACATTTCAATTACATAAAGGGCCACTCTGTAAACTTCTAGCTGAACCAGATGCTTGGAGGTGAATTTAGAAGCACTGTCAAGCTATCAGATAAGCTGCAGTGGCCTCCTTGTACCAGCTTGCCTTCTCTCTTTGATTTGAAACCCTGGGAGCCAAGAAGGAAGGGAAATTTTCTCCTATTATCTGAGGCCTAACCAGTGGAATACTATGGACCAATTAAGAATGTCTTTACTCTAGGAAGCTAAGCTAAGTGGGGAAGGAATAGGAGAAGGCTAATACTTTTCTATTTTCCTTTTGTGTCCAAAAGAAATTTATCAGCAGAGTTAGTTCTTTATCTTCTCCTGCCTACTTCTCTTCCTCACTCCACAGGACAAGCAGCATCCTTAACTGGAGATCTGCCTGTGGGCTTTTTGACAAATTTGGCAATCCTTGATGAGATGTATATCAATACTTAATATTATATTCACAATATAGTTAAGTGTAAACTATGTCTTTAAAAGAATTAAGTTCAAATTCTACTTAAAAGTTTTTAAACAATTACTTTTCACATCAGAGACCTCCTTCTTGCAAACCAAGTCCAAGTTTACATTCTTGGTTCTCAACACTCTCAAAATCATTATACACATTAAAAATTGTGTTCCCATACTACCATAATCAAATATATTTTCAGGACCTTCTCTATGCCAATCAATGTGCTAAGCCCTAAGTATACCCTCATGAACAAAAGAGACACCATTCCACATACAGCTTTTTATAAACTTACCTTTGATGAAAGCGTCACTTATTGAGAGCTGTTGTCCTCCAGTGTCAGAAATCAAATACTCTGCATACCAGGGAGACAACAGAGAGGAGGAAGGAAAGGAGAGACATATGACTATAAATATGTCAGCATAATTATATAGCAAAAACACCCACACACAAAATATTACTCATACTAAACCCATCACTGCCCAGCAAATTCAAGAAAGTTTTGGGTCAAAATGCCTCTTGATACTTGTTCTATGCACTTCATACTAAACTTAAGCAGACTTGCATTAATAATGCAATAGAGCCGTGAAACAATTCTCCTTAATTCAAATGTCAGATAGAGAAACGTTTTTCTCTTACCAAAACCAACCGGTTTATGAACATTAAGATCTTCAGATACTTGTACGACCATCCTAAAGCATTACAGTTCTTTTCACATGTAACTTGATGATTTAACAAATAATCACTTTGCCTATGCACAAAGTAGTTCACAGAGAACCCACCTGATAAAACAATACAAACTTTTTTAAAATTTCAGAATATAAGCTATAAAACAAATTAATACAGAAGTGACATTGGCAGGAAAAAAGATAAAACTCATCAGTATTTGTACTAGTTCCGAATAAGCATTTTTGTTTTTCAAAAATTATACCAAACACTGCCGAATTTTTGCT